TGCAACTCTTTTCTTTATCAGTAACTGGACCAGATTTTAGTTAGGACATCACATAGTTGAATCTAGTTGGAGATCACATTTCATAAGCATTTCCACAGTTTGCTGCTCGAGACGATTATCACTGACATTCTTAGCTCACGGCAAAGGTCAGATGAGCCCATAGAAGACTCTTTGGAATGATTATGCAAGATATAGGGTTGGTACAATTCAAAAAATTTCCAGAGGATTTAGTTTTAGACATTGCTATTAATAGGATGCATAGTCAATTATGAAAGAAACTTGTCTTCAAATGGTATACCAATGTCTGGATATTGACTTCTAAGGCTATTAGAGCTAAAGAAGCCTTTCTTTAGCTGAAGAAGGTGGGGGAAACAAAATTCTATAGATCCTCAAGAAATTCCATATGATGATGATGGCTCGGGTCTAGAAGATAACAAAAAGGGTTACCTTCAGCTGGTATTCATTAATTCTTTTGGAACACAACCGAGCCAAACCAAGGCACAGGCCTTATCCATACTATAAGAGGTTTGGAAGCCACTTTGGAAGGCCACACTATCTAAACGCACGGGGGTCGGGTAGACCAGTAGGCTGCCAAAGTGCATTTCTATTTTGAATAGACTTTCACCATATAACATAGTGGAGGAACTTCATTTCTACAAGGATGAAAGAGTCTGGAGAGTTACTTCAGTGAACCAAATGGTGATCAATAGGAAGTCCACACAACACCTAGAACAGCCTCCAGTAACTAGCAGATAGGTGGTGAACCTGTAGAAAAGTCAGCAAAAACCCTTAACTAGAATGCAAAAGTGGCGGATATAGTGCCAACATCAGGCAAAAAAAAAAAAAACAATTTAGCAGCCAAACATTGGCAGCAAGACAACACGTAAGGATCCTGGTGAAAATTGCAACAGTTTTTCACAAAAAGATTTGTGGAACCACTTGCGGATAAGGAATGGCGGCCTAAGTGCATTCTAGTGGGAGATATCATTCCCCGTGGACCTAGAGGAAAAACACTAAAAAATTCCTTTGTTAGCAGCTTAACAAAAGATCAGTCAGATGATCCACTAAAGGATGCTCTCATGGAAAAAGATGATGAGTCCGAGACCAGTTTAACAGTCATCATGATGAATGAGGATACAAAGAGAACGATGAACTATTATAGAGACTTTGCAGTCAGTATGATTGGAATTATGCCGAGTAGTTCAATGCACCACCTTCTTAGCCAGAATTTCTGCAAGGTGACATGATTATAGATGGCTCAAGCTCAATTTTATGGGCTGATGATGTAGAGAGCCCAACAGAAATCAAGCAGAAAGACATCGGTGTTAAAAAAAAATAGGTGAAGAAGAAACCCAACACCTTAAGCCATTGTTCCTCACCATCTTCTTTGATAGGTGGATCGTAAGTAAGGTGTTAGTGGATGTCAGAGCTTCCGTCAATATCCTGACATTTTCCATACTGAGGAAGATCGGAAAGACTATGAACGAGTTGATTCCAATGAAATGATGAATTTTATGGGCAATGCCCACAAGGACGCTAGAGTAGCGTGACGGATGTCATTGTTGGGAGCAAAAAGGACCGTATGGCATTCTTTATAAGGGACACCAACATATTTTTCCATGTTGAGTCACAGTTGGATCTACACATTATAGTGTGTGTCTCCTACTCTTTACCATAAACTTATGTTTTGGAATAGGAACAAGGTGAAGGAAAAAGCGGATCCACTTTTGGAGATCCATGCTTTGAAGGCCATTTATTATTCTTAGAATGTGTTTCCTCTTTCAATAATGGTGATTATTCTTTGAATGTGTTTCCTCTATCAATAATGGTGCTGAATTCTGAAAATTGGGAGGAATGCAACATCGCTATCTAGGAATTTGAAGTCCACAAGAAGGCCGATCCAAAGCTGGATTTTATGGAAGAATATGATGGTTGACGATCTCGAAATCGTCGAAAAGTGGGAGGACCAGTTGTGGAAGTTGTCTTTACCAAAATAAAGCGCAAATTGTGAAATCGCTAGGGCAAGAAATAATTGACGATATTTCACCTGCCAACAACAATTTAGATGATGAAAAGTTTATTTTATCGATTCGGAGGATTGTTCCATCAGTTGATGCTCAAGATCGCTAGACGATATCAAATTGAGAAATGGAATAGAACTCAAATGAAAAAATTAGCACTTTATTGGTCCAAGAACATAAGAAGAAGTTAGTTGCACTGATTCGGGAGTTTCGGGACTACTTCACTTGGGAGTATCACGAGATGCCTAGGTTGGTTCAAAGTTTGGTGGAGCATTGGTTGCCTACCAATCATTCTTACTGCCTTCATAGACAACTGCCAAAAAAATTCAATCCAGTGCTGTTGCATGTGAGAGCACCAGGCAGAATCAAGTATAGGGGTACAAAAGCTACTCCCTCAAAATAAAAAACCGTGGAAAAGTGCTAGCATCAGTCTGCAATGATAGAGAAGAAATCTTCCTCTCAAAAATGTTTCTTGGCCCTTCATTTTTCCGCTAAAAGTGATTTGAAGAGAAACACTTTGGAGGAGAAATTACAATAATATTGGATGTTTTCGGAAGGCGAACCATACAAATATTTTTATGGGACATCTGTTATACCAAAAAATCTTCAAGATTTTAAAAGAATCTCAGAGGAATAAAACTAGTGGAAATGAGAACTAAAATAGCGGATCCAGGCCTCAGAAAAATGTTATATGGTCCAAATGCAAGAGGGTAATGATCCAAGTTAGTTGAAGCTCAAAGGGGGTGGACACCGACCAAATAAATGAAATAGTAAGCCATATTTTGTGCTAAAAGTAAGTGTCGAGAAAAGACCAAGAAGAAAAAGAGACCCCATTTACCAAAGGCCCAAGTGATAAGTTGAGCGTAAAGTGGAGGAAGAGTTGACAAGGAGGCAACAACCTGTGACTGAAGAGTGAGGCCTAAGCTGAGTAAGTCCAGCGGAAATGGATGAATACCGTGAACGCATGGGTTATATGATGGACATTCGATAACTTTAGAACTCATTGTGGTAATTGAGATACAAATGCGGCTTGAATAAGAAATTAAAGAGCTGGGGGTTATGAAGATTTCAATTAAGAAGGTGAAGTAATGATAGATTCAATGATGTTTGAGGGTTTTTCAACCGTTATTCATCTCACGGGATGATTAGGGGTTCATAAATTATCCTTTTAACGATTATTCATCAAGGAGTGATGAAGTTACATCGGTTACATGGGCTTATGAAGAGCCATGATCTTTAAATAAATGAGAGCAATAATAAACATTGATTGAAGCGAGTTTATAATGTTTGGGAAAACTATAAACTGGAGGATTCGCGATGAAGAGAAGGTCTCCAACCAACACATTTTCAACCTTATTTTTACCCTTTTTATCAATATTTTTCTCTTTTTTTATATTTCTTGCAATTTATTTTTTTTGCAAGATTATCCATTTTTTTTTTATTTTTATAGTTTTCTTGTTATTTTGCTTGTATTTTTTCCTAGTATTAATTAAATTTCATTTACAAACCCTTTTCTTTTCATTCCGAACAATGGATTTTCTGCTAAGATCCAATTTTGTAGACACAAAGTATCATCTGGGGGCTTTCTAGAGTGTCCTAGAGAATCCTTCGCAGTTTTTCCGATCATTTTCATCAAGTTTTCGTGAGACTGAGAATATAGATTTGCATATACAACAAGTTCAATAATATAAAGTCTATTGAGTTCTTCTAGCCTTGTCTTGTAGTTCGTTTTCTTATTTGTGTTTATTTTTTGCTATCAGAGCATGTTTCACAATCACTGACATCGGTTGTGGATTGGCCGTAACCATTCATGACACATCTTGGTATATCGACGCGACTTATCGAGCTAATCTCAATTAAGTATTAACTATGTAAAAGAATTTATATGAATTTTTTAATTCTGTTAGATACTAATAAATTATACTCCCTCCGTCTCATTTTAAATGGGTCATTTATTTTTTTGTAGTGGATTAAAAATAATAGTATTTATTGGTTAGTGGAAGTGTATAAGATAATTTTACGTTTTTTTCCCTTAAAAAGTACAAATAAAGTAATTATGTTTTTGTAATTTGTGTAAAAGTAAAGATATGTTGGTATTTATATATAAACTACTTTTACTATATTAGGAAGTGATGCTTTTGAATGAGACAAACAAAAAAGTTTTAAGAAAATACTTTGAATTGATACGGGAAAATTTTACCCTGGTAAAAACAGTTTTCTGCTAGGGCCGAAAATTTGTAACAAAAAGCCAATTTTCGTGCAATTTGTGTATTTTCTACGCCTTAGTGACGACTTTTATCTATAATCTGTACTCGCGTCACAAATTTTTTTTGCCACACACATTTTCATAACTACTACTCTCGGTCAACGTTCCTTTTGGCAAGGTTTTTGTTATGATATTTGATATGAATATTCTCTCGTAATGAAAAGTCAAGCTTTCCACGCGTGTGGCAGGACTTTTAGTCACGATATTTGTTACAAAAGTTCCTCTCGTTACCAAAATATTTACAATGACCGCTTGTCAGTGTACGTTTTTTGTTACGTCAATGAAGCCGTGTTAAACAATATATTTTCCTATGGTCACAAAACCCGCTGTGAAAAAATTATCCTTTCATATTTGTTACGTCCAAAAACCTCTTTTTGTTACATCATTTCATTTTTTTGTTATGTCATTTAATTTTTTTGTTACGCCATTGAACCCTTAACAAAACTATCCATTCTTAAGGTCGCAGAACTGGTCGTAAAAACAAACATCCAAAACAACATTTTGTTACGCCATTTCTTCCTTTTGTTACGAAAAATAGTGTCTCATAAAAAAGAGTAGTTATGGTACAGTTGAAATTGTGTGTAACAAATTAACCTGTTGTGATCTTTCTTATGCCAAAGGAAAATTTGTATACAACCATGCTATAAATATTACGATCGGCCATAATTGCAAACAATAAACACTATAAGGGAATACCAACATTATTAACGTAACAGTATTTACTAGTCGATGTCCAACACCAAGCAACAAAATAAAGTAACCCATCAAACAAGCCTAGCAACATCTCCGCTTCGACATTATGTTCCGCAAAATGCAACCATTTCAAACATCCAACCTAGTAATAAGCAAGTGGGGAAATCTATCAATCCATAGCAACAATTCTCACCACACAAAAAATAACTCTAAATGTCTATGCATATATTCCATATGTATTTCACATAGCCATTAAAACCTACCATCCAAGCACATCTACGACATGCAATTGATAAGGCAAACAGAGACAAAACATAAAGGAATCGGTCGATATGCTTCAGGGGTGGTGCATGAGCTGCAATTACCAACAGAATAAGGTTTAGTTTAAGTAATATTTCTTTCAATTTTGGAAGTCAAAATGTGAAAGTTATGAGAAAGTAGATCCGTACGTCCTTATAGTTCCACTCAATAGGATCTTCACTGACAACCACCCGAAAAGTAGTCGCCCCAGCAATTGTCGTCAAAATAAGGGGTGTGTCCGGTACTGAGGCAGATGTAACGAACACCTTGACCAACGAAAGTGTGTCACCTACAACATTCAAAAGAGCAATTTAAAAGTATGTAGTTCACCATATATTTCCCAATTCATATACCACGAGTATGTACATTCGGACATGTAGTACAATACATGGTATTTGACCCATTAATTAGGCACCAAACTACACTACTTTCTAATTTTCAATGCATTTGCAACTCGAACTATAAACCAACCATCCAACAATAAAACCTATGTAAAACAGCAGTTCATGTACAATATTAAAATAATAATTTCAATAATTAATAACTCCTTCTGGTTACCCCCAAATAGGACTGCTCCATGTATGTGTCGTAGTATCATGCCATTGGAGATTAATCATCATTTATGCACTAAATATGAGCAGACCCCCACAGATGAGTTCAAGTTCAGAGTATTGACCACTAATAAATCAAATTATATGTTAGTGATCCTCATCACATAAAAACCTATTGTGTGCAGGTTGGGGCTACACACATAATCAATAATAAAGCAACCATTCATCAGCTTTAGGACTGTAGTGTGGTCCTAAATAATATAATAACAGCATAGCCATAAACAGTCATTGTGAACGATAAAAAATATAAGATCAGTACAAAATCGATATTACAGCAACATAGCCACTGTCCCTACATTAACAGCCTATATATACATAATATTCTAACTGCCACATATGTCAAATTAAATATGCCCATACTCAATAAAACCATAATCAACTGCACTATGAGACCTGTACAGTCACAACATCGACAATGCGGTATGAACATCATATTGAAGGATTTAAAAGAAAAAATTTGAGGCACAATGCTACGAACCTGGTGCAGGGGGGCAGAGCAGAAGTCCCTCAGCAACAACTTTCTTCTCTCCGGTACGAGATAATATAAGCATACGGGTGCCAACCTACAACAGAGATTGCAGAAGAGTTGGAAGGATACAGGTTGGAGAAGAAGGTTAGCCTAAAGTTGACACTTAGTTAACTTTAGGGTTTGAGAAAATCATACCATCATAGGTGATTCGGACACAGGCTTGAGAATTCAGAGACCGTATCAACACGAGCTGTGGCCTATCAAGAATAAGTAGATCCTAGTGAATATTAAGAATACTTAGAGATGGACCACTAACTACTCCGGATTTTTTGTGCATGAATGCATACACATCAGCCTTGATGGTTTTGAACTCAGCCATCGTTGTCTTCAACTCTGCAAATCCGCTCTACATTTCTTCCCACCCTTGCTGGAATGCTACATTATTTGTTAAATCAGTTGCATCATTACGGGGATGAGCTGAACTCGTGGCACTGTAAACCTTTGAGCGCTTTTTGCTCTTTCCCCCAATAGCCCGTCAGTAAAGAGTCTCTCGAACAGCCGGAGTCCGCCCTTCCGAGGGAATCTTGTTTAGCTCATTCTGCAAATATGTCTACAACAAAGGAATCAAGTGAGGCCGACCTTGCTCGTATTGTTATAGAGGCACTTAATGTCTAAATTTTATTAACGTAAGGAATAAATTTATTATACCAATATATCTTCGGTTTGTTAATTGTCTGCTCCCTTGGCTTGTATCCAACTGGATATCCAAATCTCTAAATTGTCGGGGTCCTTCCCCTTCGCCTTGATCTGCATCAACACAAGACATTGCGTCATTGAAATACATATCAACTATGCGAAAATAAAATATAGGGATGGAGCGTAACATAGAAACAAAGGAAATTTGGACTGATTACTTAATTGTAATAAAAGGTACATCCTCCGCGAGAGTCGTGAAGGACTTCCACCCAATACGATGTGGAAAGTTTTTTTTTTTGTACGTTAGATGCATTTTTCTTGGATTGAAACTACATATATAAGAATTATTTAGTTCTCAAATAAGACTCTGCAAATATAATAATCAAATTATTATTCGTCTCTATTGTTGATGCATGCATGGATAGTCTTGCATATGAACTCCAAGTCCTTCGTGATCTTGTTAGCCTCGTAGAAGTTCTTCGGGAGGACAACATCGTCTAGCAGTGCATCCCTTAACAACTCTAACAACAAGTCAATAGGTTTATTAGCCCAGTGGCACAAAAACTTCAAGTGCAAAAGGTGAGCGATAAATGAGATTCTGCTCATTTTCTTGCACCGTGGTATAAGCTCTTTCTCTACATCTTCTAACCTTTTTTGTATCCCTTACTGCCACAATGTATATTTTCATCTTTCTCATCGGTGTTACTGGGCCCCGGCCCAATGTGCTCTGTAGTTGCGCACTCTTACAACAAAAGTTCTAGTTCATCGTCTCAATGCATTGGAACATTGTTTTCTATAGCCGCATAGTTCGCCTCTCCTTTCCCATGAGAAGTCCGGACCTTGTAGGATTGGTCGAATCCATAGCGAATACAAATGGAGCAAGATATCCCTACGAGATTTTGTTATGCGATCTCCACAAGACGTACAGGGACCATAGATAGAAGCATCAGAGTTCCTATCTTTGAACGCAAAATCTAAGAAAGCCCTGACCCTATCCAAAATTTGAGCCAAGATATAGTTCGCATCGTCTATCCAACTCCTATCCATCTAAAAAGGCAATATACATGCAATTCCATCAACATATCATAAATTCAAACTCCTAATGTTTAAGTATTGATACGGGCATGCACCCTCAATTTAAAAGAATAAAGTTATAGCATCGGCTTTAAAAAAACCACATATCTGTCTCTACAAGTCCATGTAATGCACTTATAAGTAAAACATAACATTCATCACAACATTAAGGCTCATGGTTTAAAATCAGCCATCCTCTCCACTTTAGAACCTTTTATGGATGCAATTTAATGAGAATTGAGTGATTTCTACGCTCCGCCAAATATTATGATCCGTCATCTCTAGACACTAGAGCAGTAAGAATTATCCATACCCTACTTATGTCAAGAAAAATTTATAACTATTCTAAATATTTCCTTACCCTTTTGTACGAATATGAAAAAATCCTCAAATATGATGTCCAAAGAATATTTCAGATTTGTGGGAATGCATACAACACTTAACTACACCACCACCCGATAAAACATAGACCACGTAGAAGCTTTGCACAGTGGAAATGCATTAAAAAGAAATCAGACTTTCCTTTAAACTCAAGTATGCTTATCCTGAATTCACACTGCACGCCTTTGTCTCCATAATTTAGTATCCCATAAAAAAAAATAAGCCTGTAAAATATGCACTAATTTTCAGTAAATAAAGCACAAACTACTACAAAAGTTAAACACCCACTAGTTCACAATATCCATTCTTTATTTTAGGATTGAATTGGTACATATATATATATCACTTTTAGTATTATATGCTGATGAAGGGACTGAAACTGCAGGATAAGCCTTTGAATTAGTTCATTCATTAACTTATCATAAGTGACTGTTGTTGACACTATAAATTCTAGGATCTCGACACTATATGAAATTAACACACAATCAAAAAGCATGATGCATATTATTTCCACAGGTATACTTTGTTTTAGAAGAAGAATGAGGTTATTCACATTGTTTAGAAACAAATGACATTTATGCCTATGCAAGGCACATATTGCGTATTCATAACGAACACAAAATCTTCAAAATATAAAGGGAAAACCGACGTTGTTTACCTCCCTAACAAGAGTAACAAATATCTAAAACACGGCCAAATACTTTTCGATAGTCACAAATCTTTCTTATGAAACCAGAAAGGATGTACTATTATATAAAATGTGTATCGGGTGTCATACCAACTGTTTTTTTAGATTCAAGATCACAATCAGATTTGATGTATCTATTTCCACCCTGATTTTAGGTGTTTTGTAAGTTTAAAATCATCATTATTGTGTTCGTCATCTAAACTCTATCCTAACTGGTCGTGGCTCTAATTAAGTCTAAGATACAACGATTAAATACGTTATACAACATAGTGTTAGTTTTTTCAACCATTTAGATGTTTGCAAATGAACAATGAGATACTTGAAGCCCATAATCATGCAGGACATAGATAAGATGACTTCCAGTTTTACAAGGTATTCATAAATTTTTACAGCTAGAAGATACAAAAACTAGAGACTACGGTAGTATACATTTAAGAAATTTATCCAAATTACATAACAGCAGATGCAAAATCAAACAAACAATGAGATGTCAATAGCCAGAATTAAAGAAAATTGAATCATGAAATATTCATAGAACATAAGCCATATAAGTTGTCAATCACTAACCCAGAAGGTGGTGCTGGGTTTCGGAAAACTTTAGAACCACCAGGAGCCCAAGGAACTGTTTACAGAAAATGAATATGAGCACTCACATATTGTTGCAACTAATAAGTGCAATGGTATTAATTTTACAAATTGATTTCGATGATTATAGTACGAGATTAGAAAAAAAAAACAAAACAAAGTGGTTTCAATCATGTAATATCACACTATATGAGCATAGCAAGATCTACATGCATCCGTAGGTTGCAAAAAAATAAGATCCAATAGTTGATATAACAGGCTGCATCATAGATGTTACACGCCACACATTCCGGTATACATATTCAATTATAGAAATAGTTAAACAAGGGTTACCCTTCAATTTCAATTATTCTAAAATATGCATATATCTAGTCAAATATAACATAACAATTAGGATGAAAAATTTTAATAATACAATTAAATTTAAGATAAAAAAAAGTTGCACAAAACCTAGGGCAGCCCACTGTGTAAATTTCAACTATGAAATCTCGTTCTAAAACTAGTTCAATTATATCATACCAATTACTGGAGAAATCCTAGAGTCTTACAAGATATCATCAACGAATTACAAGATATCATCAACGAACAATCTTTCTACAAAAAAAAATTTAAAAATCGACATCAATGGCTTGCTCTAGACACATACCTGAACAAAGAGAAAGCAATCATGCCATACCCTAAGCCACTCCCCAAATCTACTAGTCCGTATGAACCTAAAGAAGAAATGGAAGATTAATGCAAGCTAGTTTTGTGTGTTCCTCAAATCAATATCGGTTTGCGAATGCAATGGACGAAGAACCGTAGGTCCACACTGAATCTTAGTGGACAAAACGTAAACACCTTACCTGAACGCCGGCGCCGGAATAGCTTGTCAATCCAACCAATTTGACGATGATGGTCATGTCGGCGCAAGGAGGGGGGAGAACAGCGATATGCGAGGGAGGAGAACAGCGTGAGGGGGAGAATGTGTGCCCTAATTTGTGTAGTTATGATTTTTGGGTGAAGACTATAAATACGCGTTTATATATATATATTTTTAGAAAAAATTCAAATATTAAATTTAAATGGAAAAAAAGAAATTAATATCAGTGGTTACGAAAATCTATGATAACTAATATTATTTTGACCAAAATTTACCATTTTCCTAATTGTTACATAAAATTCTACGTAACTACTGTACCTAAAGCGTTGACCGGACAATAATTTTTTTGTCACAGATTTTATCGTAACTAAAATACCTATTTGTTACGATGCTATTGTTACGAACCCTCAACCTGTAGTTATTACCTTTTTTTTTTTTGTAGTGAAAGTAAATTATATATAAAAAAGTTACAAATATGTATTAACACAATTATTATACCTCAATTCAACTTATATATTCAATTTTATATTTTTGCATATTATTTTAATATCATAGTAACATAAACTATTTTAATAACAAATATTTATTATATTTTTATCTAGATTTATGTTTTTTTTATAAAATTTGTAATAAAAAATTATAATATATAAATAAATTTTAAATTATTCTATTATTTCATTATTTTCTAATTTAAAAATTAACCCTTTCAATTATAATCCAATCCCATAAGAGCATTAATGCATTAATTATAAACCAAGTGTTGGTTTTTTGGTACCCATACCCTGAAACTCAAACTCAAATATGTGTAACTCGACCTGCAACCTATTTATCCAAATTAGATCCAGTCCGTTCATTTAATTAGGGTTAATCTGGATCATTGATTTCTTAGATATATATATATATATATGTGTGTTGTGGGTTGAGAAGAGAGAATTATCATTCATTCACGCGATACAACAGCCCTAATCTCTCTTCTCCTTCATCGCGATTTCTCACGAGCTCACCTGTGAATCGATTCCTTGAGGTTTTCCGGCGTGCCTCCATTGACCGGTGCCTTCCTAGTCCGACGAGCTTTCTTCAAAGCAGTGTAAGTTGTTTGCAGTAAGATTTAGTCGCGAATAAGCATTCGTGTGTTCTTTCTTTTGCCCCGTCGGTGAATATTTTGGATTTGTGGTGAGTGTGAGTTGTTGACTGCCTAGTTTGGGTTTGGTTCCTTGTTTCTTGGCTTGGTCACCATTTTTTGTTGGGTTTCTGAAGGGCCTGAGCTTTATTTGTAATAAACTGGTTTTATTTGAGGTATATGATGTGCAATTCATAGAATCGTGTTGTTTGTTATCGATTCGGATTAGAATTGTTAATTTATTGGGCGAATCCTTGATTTTGGTTCTAGATTGTTTTCTTACACCAAGTATTCTTCTTTCTCCCACGGTTTCCATCTTCTTCTTTTCCTAAATCCTAACAAGTTGTCTCTAACTTCTTTTATTTTATTTTTTTCCTCTCCAAAACCCTTGACCCGTCGTTCTCATTTTTTCTCTTTCCTTCACTGTCTTCTAAACCCTAAATCCATCATTTGCATCTTGTCCTTCTTTGTTTATATATAGGATCGAAATGAAAAAAAACTCTATTTTGGATAGAGTTAGCCGATTTTGCGAACCATGATGGGGAGTGGGGAGCGTGGACATGAAAGGGGATTTGGGAGGATTATATATATGTTTAACCAAGTGTCGGAGAAGTGTAGTTCCATTGAGGTGTATTCGTGTATAAGATGGTCGTAATTTTTGAGAATTTTTTTTTTTAATTTCTTATATATATATATTGTTTTATTTCTTTGTTGACATGAAAATGCAACAAATAGTACCATAGTTAATGTTTATTCCTCCAAGCTCCTATTCTAAGTCCAAGTTTTTTGTTGACATTGCAATATATTAGATGTCATAGTTTTCATCATATCTTCTAAAGTATTATCCGAATTTCTTGAGAAGGTTTTTGGGCAATCACCAATCGGGGGCCTTCAAGTAGAAAGAAAGTGAAATTACAGTACAATGAGTGGTGTTTTTGGGCAATGGCAACCTTCAATTGCCTCAGACGACTTTAATTAATGTTGTCAGTATGATTCAATTTCGATATTTTGTGTCCAACCTTCAATTACAAGGTGATGTTTCTTTTGTTTTTTTTGGATTACAAGGTGATGTTAAGAACAAATGGATCATATTGTGTGAACAAGAACTTCACAATTGTTGAATTATTGCCACTTTGGAATCGTGTTTGGTCATTTTGACAATGTGGATGTGACTGAGATAATTAACAACACGTGATCAAATTCAAATTAAGTCGGAGTCCTCATCACTACTATCGATAGGGAGGGCATCCTTATATTACCACTTCTTAACGTAACATACTCCATACATTATACATATGAATGAAGAAATTATTATTGTATGTTTTCAGTCCCCAATATCTCATAACGTTACATACTGTCTGAATTAAGAGAACAAAAAATGATAAAAATAAAAATAAAAATAAAAATAAAAATAATGTAAGTAATGTAATAAAAATATTATTAATTGTAAAAAAAGTATTTATCTCTTAACAGTTATACCCATGCCTTGCTTTGACGTGTTTTATCATGTTGACTGGTCATCACCTGGAAACCGTAGCAATATGTTAACATAACGACTTATGTCATTTCCTAATAATAATAATAACAATAATAATATAATAAAGGTAAATTACATAATACCCATTTTTCTTTTATTGTAAATGCATTAAAAAAAATAAAAATCTAGTATTTTATTTATTGTGCTAAATTTCTTCATGTTATTATTCATTATTGGGATGAAAAATATAGTTTGTTCTTAAAAGAGGATTTTACGCAAAAAAATAGAACATAAGTGTTTTATCCATTTATAATAAAACATAGAGAGGTATTATGCAATTCACCATAATAATAATAATAATAATAATATGTACCTTGTCCGTTCACTGAATTAAAAATGCGTAGATGAGGGTCTACAGGGAGACCCATTTCTTGATACCTTCTGTCGTATAATGACAATCTGTAAAAATTCAATAGGATTTTCTTAAGTACATGCACGCAGTACAAGTATAATAATACTGTTGAATTCTAATTCTTACAATTTATTTATAGTTAAAAGTAACTTATATATATCAATTACCTTCGACTGGAAGACATAGAGGGTTGTGAGGTTTGTCCATGATGGAGCCTTGAAGAGATCACATTAGGTATAGATGCTGAATGAGATTCCCGCATTGCCTTAGAATTGGTACATTACAGATGATGTAAGCAGTTTGAATGATAGATGAAATTGTTAGTAAGATCCAATAACAAATTAAATAAACTAAAATAATTAATACAACTATTATAAAGAAATAGACATGAAGTTCTTTAACTTGAGAAAACTTCAAGAAAATGAATGTAAATTTTCACCATTTAGCTTTGAGGTAAAACATAGTATATTGCTAATTTTAATATAATTGGATATATCGAACTGTTGGGAACACACACAAGGGAAAAAAAAAGAGAAAGCCTAATAACAAAACACGAGAATTTAACGTGGTTCGTTCTCATAAGAGACCTACATCCACGATCCCAAAATGGGATTATCCACTAAAATATTTATTACAATTTTTTGCACGGACAAAATTGTAAAACCCTCCTCACAACAACTCACCAAATCTCAATTTCACTATCTCTAGGTACTAATAAAAAAAGGTTTGTTATCATACTTTAAAATAGGACCCAAATGGGTCAATTTATAGGAGTCAATGCCCCCACCTTTTTATAACATTTCCGATGTGGGACATGGGAAGTTACACAACAATTCCTCCCTCTTCCCATAGTCTCACATATTTCGACCATGTCAGAAAAGCGAACTCTCTTCTCGATTTTCTGATTCTTCGTATCATTGCTACTCTCCACATTTGCTCCCAAGGCGCATCCATCTAGATAACAGATGTTGTTTTGTTTCTTCCTCCCTTGCATAATCAAGCTGTCACTCTTGTACACTTTGCACAGATTTTTAGTGTCAATATATCTATACTCATGTGAAGCCAACTCGCCCAATGAAATAACATTAGCTCCAAAAGTAGGCACATACCTCACATTAAAAATTGTTTTGAAATTACCATTGTGGAGCTTCAAACGAACTCTTCCAATGCCTTCAATTCCCTACTTCATCTTATTCCCCACATTAATATAGCCAAAATCTCCCTTTGTATGCAAAGTATCAAATAAAGCTTGATCTTTACATATATGGACATCGGCAGCAGAATCCATCACCCAATTAGAATTCTCAATAGGATTTGTATTTAAAAGAAGTAAATCACCTTCATAACTGACCACGTTCGCAGAGTTCTCAACTTTCGACTTATCCTTCAAATTTCTCAAACTTCTCAAGTATTCTTTAAAGAGTCGACAATGATTTTGAATGTGACCAAACTCTCCACAATAATGACACTCAATAGAGCTGTAATCTCTAGGCCGGGATTTCAAGCTTACACCACGGTCACTCTTCATTTTTCTCCCTCTTTCAGAACCCCCCACAGCTAGTATTTGACTCTTCTTTGAAGCGTCTTCATTTCCCATTATCTTGTCATTCTCCTTCAAAACCGTTATCGTCTCATTCAATTTCAATGTAGTTTTTCCAACTAACATTAATTGCACCAACAGCTTGTAGGATTTGGGCAACGAAGCTAACAAGAGCAACGCTTGCTCTTCCTCTTTAATTTCCTCTCCTGCATTCAATAATCGACATACTAGCTCATTAAACTTGTTAATATGGTCAATTATATTACCTCATTCCTCCATCTTCAAAGAGTATAGATCCATTTTCATAATCAGGCGGTTAGTCAACGTCTTCGTGGAAAATTTACTCTCCAAAGTATCCCACAACCTATTCGGAAATGTTTCCCTCAACACGGTAACCTTTATCTGTGGGGTGAGTGCCAATCGAATCGTGCTAACAACCTTTTTCCGAATCATACTTCAATCACCTTCTTTCATACCTTCTGGCCTTGTATCTTCCAAGGCAACATCAAGACCTTGTTGCACCAAATAATCTTGAATTGTGCTTTGCCACATAGTAAAATCACTTTTTCCATCAAAGAATGGAACCTCATATTTCATAGTAATGGACATAGTGTTTAATAACTCTCCAATAAAAAAGCACTTTCAACAACCAAATAAACTGAGGCTAACAATTAAAGCCAGGAACTCACAGGCAGAACCGACCTTTCTGGCAGAAATCTGGTGTGTTCCCAGAACCCCGCTGCGGAATTGCAACCTGACTGCTGGCATGCCGTCAACTTCTCTCGAAACACCTCTTGCTTCTTCTCTCCTCCCTTTGCCAAGACCTCGCTAAAAAATAACCTCGCTTTGATACCACTTGTTGGGAACACACACAAGGGAAAAGAGATAAAACCAAATAACAAGACACAAGAATTTAACATGGTTCGGTCTCACAACAGGCCTACATCCACGATCCTAAAACGGGATAATCCACTAAAATGTTTTTACAATTCTTGCACGGACAAAATTGTAAAACACGCCTCACAACAACTCACCAAATCTCAATTTCACTATCTCTAGTTACTAAAGAAAAAACGTTTGTTGTCATGCTTTAAAATAGGACCCAAATGGGTCAATTTATAGGAGTCAATGCCCCTGCCTTTTTATAACACTTCCGATATGGGACATGGGAAGTTACACAACACGAATTTTTACTACACAATATTAGAGCACAATTATGTTTAATTGATCGATCACGTTCAGTACTCTTCAAGTATTAAGATTGATTAGTTTATGGAAGCAACATGTATATATTTCAGCCAACCAGTGTAAAATGATGTTTCTTAATCTAATATTTGTATGTAGACGACTACTCATCCAGAAATGAACAAATGATATATATGCATACTATGTACAACTTTACCATGAAAAATTTTGGACGAAACTTATAATTTCATTGCTTGCAGCATCAAGAACGGCTACTAATTCTTATTATGAGAATAGTAATAGTTATAATTATAATAAAAAAAAAAAAGTGATTTTGAAAACTAACCATTTGCTGTGAGACATTATTATATCCTTGGCCTCTAGAAAACGATGAGATTCCCTGAGTAGTGCCAGAGTTACTTCCATGGCCGATTGGAAAATTATTTGTATCACTGAAGGCAAAACACCAAAACAATAAACAAAACACAGCTGATCAGATGAACTTAGAAGCCCTTGTATTTTCAATTTTTTGGAGTGGATGCAATATAAACAAAGCAACTCCTATTTATAAACAAAAAATAGCCTATGAAAAGGAACAAATAAACTTTCTCCTAAACAAAAATACAAATTTTTATGACGTGAGTTTTTCATCGACACGATGCATAAAATTTTTGTTTAGTACTTTCTGTAGTAGTCGATAAAGCCAAATGTCCTAGCAGGTTGACGTTGCACTAGGAATGTACTCGACTTCACATGAAGAAGGAGCTATAACATGTTGTTTCTGGGACTACCATGAGATCGGACTCTTTTTAATGAAGAAAAAAGTACTAGCAGTGTATTCCCACTATCTAAGTCACCATCCATGTTGATGTCACTAAAACTTGACAATGGCAATCTTTCTCCTTTCTATTTGGGGTAGGCGACATCAAAAGATTGTGCCTCAGTGATCTATCGAATGATTCATTTGACTGCAATGAGGTGTTCATCCTATGGATCCTCTATAAATCGACTTACATATCCATAGCATGGATTGCCTACCATACTTTGGTACGAGGTAGAGTTCACGTGTGGAATTGTCGAAATATTGGATGGCTTGAGCTTTTCTTCCATTGGAGTTAGGCAAGGATTGCAAGTTTCCATGTCGTCCTATTTATGAAGCTTCTCAACATCGGCATTTTGACAAAGTGTGATCCCACCTTCATAATGGTTGAACCTGATGCCGAGGAGTAGGTTTGAAGGCCGAGGTTGCTCATGCAAAACAAGGACATAATCTCACATTTGAACTAATCAATCTTGGCTTGACCTGTTTGAGTAATGATTGCCTCATCGATGTAGTGCCGATGATTAGTGCTTCATAATGTCCTCGTAAAGTGTATAATATGTGCTCATCGATGCATCAAAAGAAGCGCAGACCCAAGAGACTATCATCATGCTTGGTGTTTCAAGCACGCGGGTTTTCGCGCAATCCACACAATA